TCACTGGAGCAAGCAAGCCTCCCTGTTCGCTTCAGTGCATGGCTGCCGGCCGCCATCTTGGCTGACAGTTAATTTGCATAAGGATATGCTGATTAGCCAATGGGAAGGGTAGTGGTCGTACGCTAATTACCATGTTTCTCCTTTGTTAGTGTAGATAGGATAGTAATCTTTCATAAAATAAAAATAGGCCATGAAAAAAAATGTATTGTTGAGAGAATCCTCATGCACATTAATAAATGGAATATGAAAAATAGGTGGTAATTAGAACTGGATGACCCATGCTATTCAGGTGTATCCTTTTTCACTTCGGTTAGCCAATTCAAACGCACTTCACCAGAGCTATGACTACATATTGTGGCTACTTGTTGGCTCTTGTTGAATACATGTGTATCAACATTTATTATAGTCATATCAATTGATAATGTGTTTATTGACTTGCCAGAAAAACCAAGAATTGAAAGTCTTCTGGCAACCAAAATTCCCTTCTTTACTGTATGTCACGAGACTAGCTTTCCTTCTGGGGGGGTGCTTGTGTAGGGAATAAATGTGGGCCTCATTTTTCCATAGCTATTAGTTTATTTCTTTCCTTGTGAGGTGGACCCCCTGGGAACATATAGTATTTTTGTGTAAAAGAATTCTAAGAAAGCAGTTTGAAAAAGTATGCTATTTTTTTTAATTCTGAAATTGCACTTTGAAATTATTGTGTTAAAATAGAATGCAAAAGTCTTGTACTAGTTGTTCTTCTTTAATCACATAAAATGCAGGCATATTCCAACATATTTACCTAGTTATTCCTTTGTTAGTTCATTAACCTCCAAATTTTACTTTACAGCTACTTTATCCCAAGTGTGATTGTATCACAGTGAACAAAATAGCTGAGTTTATTGACTTCTTGAATTTTACAGTCCAGTCACAGAGACTGATATAGACAAGGGATTAGAGGTGTGATGAGTGGTACAGAGGAAAATGGTTAAGGGGAAGCAATGAAGAAGTAGCAATAAACTTGTATAAATATTTTACCGAGTAGAATGTAGTGGCTATTGAGCCTAGATGTCAAAAGACATGTGCTTTTTTTGTTGCTTTTAAAGAGGGTGGTGCAGGTAGAGTATAGTAATATGTTTTATAGGTTTTTATATTTAAGAAAAATAACTGATTAAAAAACTGTATCAATTCCCACCTTTTAGTCCAATATGATATGATATTGTTTTATTTAACGTGCAAATCTTGCTTCAGGCCTATAATAGCTCTAAGTATTATTACTAGTAAACATCCTATATAATAAAAGCTGAGTGACCAAAATGGCGGAACGACCAGAACAACCAGAGACCAGAATGACCGGAGCCCCTCTCCCTGGCGAGCCCCGCCCCCCAGCCAGGACCCCCACCCCTGATCCAGGGCTCCCATCAGGGCTGGCCAGCCAGCCCTCACCTGTGCACCGGGCCTCTATCCTATATAATAAAAGGATAATATGCAAATTGACCCTAACAGTGGAACAACCAGAACGACCACTCAACCAGTCACTATGAGGCGCACTGACCACCTCTCAGTCCCGATTGCCTGATGGCAGGCAGGCTCCAATCGTCTGATGGTGAATGGGGAACTGGAGGTGGGTGGCAGCGGGCCGCAGGGCTGGCTGTGGGCAGCCCAGGAAGATGGTCCTGCTCGCAGTCTAGGCCTGGGGACCATACTTGCGCATGAATATCATGTGCCGGGCCTCTAGTAATTTAATAAATAGTATTTATAGTGCTGTAGACTAGATTTGGGCCATAGGGTGCAGGATATAACTTTTTCTTTGAGAAAAATCTTAGACCTTCAATTTGTAAATCAGGAAATGGTGCTGATGTGACATAGCTGGCAGAAGGTTTTGGACCCTCCTAACTCTCCCTCACATGTCACTTTCCCCCTGCCACAGCCCAGGGGTCCCTCTGCAGAACTCCAGAGCAGAGTTTAGAAACCCTGGGTTCCTTTCCAGTATTTAGACTCTATATTTATAATCTAAGGAACAACAAAATAAATCATCATGGCTCCACCCTCTTTCCTTCAAAAAGCATGATAATAATGTTCAGGTTAGAAAAAGTAATGCTTGAATTATTAGGTATTTTGATAATGTGATTGAGATGATGCTAGGATTTTCTTTTTTAAAAAAAGGCTTATTTCAACATATGAGCTTTGCTGTATACACCACTGAGCCATCCTGTCTCTTTTTCAGATCACATCACCATTACCCCAAAGGATCCCCAATGGGTAGGTGCCTGGTGGCTTGGTTACCTAGTCGCAGGAGTCATAAGTCTTCTTGCAGCTGTGCCTTTCTGGTGTTTACCAAAGAGTCTCCTGAGACCCCAAAGTAAAGAGGATCCCAGTTCCTCCTCTGAAAAATCCACATTTATTATGGGGGATCACACAGAGTACCAAACACCCCATAGAGAAAAAGCAAAAATAATGGAAATGGCAAGAGGTGAGCCAGATTCTCCTTGATTGAAACATTTTCAGTTTTCTGTTCGGACTTTATAGAGGTTCTATAAGTCATACCCTCTCTCTCCTTCATGTGTTCATAAAAAAAAGTGAGAAACTATGTAGGAAGCAGAAATGAAGATTTAAAAATCAGCATTATTACTAAAAAACAATCGAAGAACATGACCCAAAATCTTGGTAACCTTCCTTGCTGACATATCCATCCACACACTTCCTCAGTGGAGACCTTGCAACTGCCCCTATAGGATTGCTATTTCATACCAGTCTGGGTGGGCAGAAAAAAAGAGTGAATCTTCAGGGCTTGCGGCCTTTAAAACAGATGACATTCACCCATTTGAGAAATGTATATCAATGCTTGTCTCCTACCAGTGATGGAAGGAGCGAGTGTGTTGTGCGGCAAAACCACACATGTTCTAGTGAATTCTCCACACGTGGTAATGGGTATCCATGAGAAAGATTAATTTCCCTCAATGGGCCTGGAAGGGGCCCAGTAAGCAATATTTACATTTATAGAAAGTCTTTGCCTTTCTAACTGTTTGGCTACATAATAGGAAAAAGGGAGCATGCCAAAGTTTGTTTCTTAAACTAAAGTCCATGCATTAAATGGAGACAACGTTCATATGCCTTTCCTTGTGACCATGACCCAAGTTTGAAGAATAGACCAGGAAACTGAAGTTCTTGATGTCCTGCCTGTGACTCCCTGCTCTTAGTGAGGGAGTGGTAGTTCTTCTTGCCCTTTACCCACATCAGTTAGAGGAGTCTGTTTTTGTCTGACTTATACCTCAAACTACAATATAGATGTTTTGCCCATAGAAGCATGCTCTATGTCTAGTTCTCATCCTTGACTTGTGCCAATGACTTGATATGTATAGTGTGAATGTGTACCACACTGTAACTGCAGCTGATAATATGACAATGGGACTCAGTTACCTAAGCCCTGCTGCCATGGCTATATCTTCTGCCAAGTGTGACTGTCTTTAATCACTCCATGTTGTTTTTGTCTTATAGATTTTCTTCCATCGCTGAAGACTCTTTTAGGAAATCCAGTGTACTTCTTATATTTGTGTGCAAGCACCGTTCAGTTCAATTCTTTATTTGGCATGGTGACATATAAACCAAAGTACATTGAGCAACAGTATGGGCAGTCAACTTCCAAGGCCAACTTTGTTATCGGTATGCTCATCTTCCTTCATGCTTTCCAATAGGTACTACCAGCTGCATCCTGTTAACTATTAGTACCTTTAGAAAAAAATGTTCCAATATTTAGACTGAAGGTAATTTATGGTATTTTAGATATGAAGAAAAAAAAGCAAGTAAAAATAATCTAGCAGGATAAAATATTTAGATAGTCTGTGGTACAACTTTCTAGCAAAAAAATGTTCACAACTACGGGTGAATGACCATGAAAATATCACATAGATCACATGCATTTTATGAGGAGACTAGAGGCCCGGTGCACAAAATTAATGCACGGGGGTGGGGGAGGAGGGTCCCCTCAGCCCAGCCTGCACCCTCTCCAATCCAGGACCCCTCAGGGGATGTCCGACTGACGGTTTAGGCCTGTGGGATCCGGCCTAAACTGTCAGTTGGACATCCCTCTCACAATCCGGGACCACTGGCTCCTAACCTCTCACCTGCCTGCCTGCCTGATCGCCCCTAATCCCTCTGCCTGCCGGCCTGCTTGCCCCCAACTGTCCCCCCACTGGCTTGATCACCCCCAA